AGAAGGATGGGGAAAGGGATCCCCGGGGACCGAAGAACGTGTGGAGGACCCCGTTTTCTCCTTCCTCACACGGCTCGCACCCAAGGGCAGGACCCGGGATGCAGATGCGCTGCAGAGCAGTGGCGCAGGTAACTACAAGTCCAAGAGAAGCCCCATTTTTCTGGCTGGAGGAAAAGGTAAAAAGGATCCCTGTGGGCAGGAGAGACGGGGAAATCCAAAAGAGCAATGATCTAGGAAAAAAAGATCTCCTGAATTCCATATGAAAACCCACCTACCATGCCGGACAGACTATAAACCAGAAGAGCAAAGGCTGTAAAAAGCAACCTGACATTGACGTCTCAGACCATCCTCTGAGTAGTGCAAGCCCAAGACAGACGCAAAGCAACGTGACAAAGACTTTTGAAAAGCAGAAGAGATTAGAATCCATGCCCAACTTTCTCATTGCCCTCCCCCCTCTGCTGCAGTCAAGGCAAAACTAGTGTTCTGAGCCTAACTAGGTTAACTACCTGCTTAGAAGCACGGGCCTCATATATTCTCCAGAGGGTTTTAACAGGATTGTAGTCTTTACAATATAACATCCGTAATGTCCAAGATACAATTCAAAAGTACTTAACTTACAAAAAAGCAAGAAAAGTGATTTCTCAGGGGAACAGACAACACATAACAAGCTGGAGACTACCCAGATGTTGTCACTGCCGAGACTTCAAAGCAGTTACGGTAACTACGCTCCCTGAGGTAGATAACCATGCCTAGCGTGAACAAAGAGTCATTCGGCAGGAAAACAGAAACTATGAAATACAGTATTTGAAATAAAAAAATTCACTCGATGGGGGGACAACAGCAGAATAGAGATGAAAGATGGAAACTTCAGTTGACTTGAAGATGGGCTAAGAGAAATTATCCAGCAGGGGAAAAAAAAGACTGAAAAAAAATTGAGGACAGTATCAAATATTTATGTAATTAGAGTCTTAGAGGGCAAGGAGAAATTGGCACCAAAAACAATTATTGAGAAATGGCCAAAAAGTTATGAGATGTGGTGAATGAAAAATATAAATTTACAGATTCGAAAAGCTCAGTGAACGACTTCTTTGCTATGACATTAAAAGTATGATTCATAAAAGAAAAATTCGGGAAACTGGATTTCATCAAAATTAAAATCTTTTGCTTTATGAAAGTTATCATTAAGAAAATGAAAAGACATGTCTCAAAGTGGAAGAAAGTATCTGCAAACTGTATCTACCAAAGGACTCGCATGCAGAATAAGGGAACTTTTAAAACTCGGTAATATAAAAACAAAAAACTCAGTTGAAAAATGGACAAAAGATCTGAACAGAAACTTTACTAACAAACATACGAATGGCAAAAAAACACAAGTGAAAAGATGCTCATTATCGGCAGTCACTGGGGAAATAAAACAAGACGTGTCTACATACCTATCGGAAGGCTAATATCAAAAAACTGAGAATACTAAGGACTGACAAGGATGCAGAATAAAAGGAAATCTCAAACATTGCTGATGAGAACATAAAATGGAATCTATAGCCACTTTGGAAAACAACTTGGCAGTTTCTTAGCAAGTAAAATGTACACTTAGCATATGAGTCAGCAATCTTACACCTAGGTTTTAATGTAAGTGAACTGAAAACCCATAATCTCCCAAAATCTTGCATGCACATTTCAGTGGCTTTATACATAGTTAAGAAAAAGCTGGAAACACAAACGTCCTTCAGCAGGTAAATGGATAAGCACACTGTGGTATACTCATTAAATGGAATACTACTCAGTGAGCAAAAGGAACTGACTACTGCTAACTGCAACAACACAGATGAATCTGAAAGGTATAAGCAGCTAGATTCAAAAGGCTACATGCGGTATGAGTGAGTCCATTTAAAGGACATTCTCAAAAAGGCAAAATTATAGAGGCAGAATAAAAGACCCGTGGTGGCCAGTGCCTAGAGGGATGGGAAGAGTTGAACGCAAAGGGACAGGACAAAGGAACTCCTGGGGATAACGGGACTCTTCTGTATCTTGATCATCGTTATGGCTACACAATTCTTTATGCTTGTCAAAACTCATAGAGCTTTACGCTAAAATGAATGAGTTTTCCTGTATGGAAATTATAACTTTGATAGAGCATCCAAAAGTGCTCTGATTCTTCTGTGTTACCATCTGAGCCTTTCTCAGAAACCATAAAAGGTAACGACTCTGATTTATAGGCGAGTTAGCAACACTTCCACCAGCGAGCAAAGTAATCAAGAGCCTTGTGATACTGAGATAATTTCTACATGCACCTACAGAACACAGAATATTAATGTGTTCAGAGCAAGGTAGGCATCATGAGACAACCCAGAGGTCTAGCGTTAGTACAGGAAAATGCTCTACCTCTAGAACCACATCGAGAGCTGCCAAGACTGAGTGGGACAGATAAACCGATCTGGGATAAATGACGAGATGGTCACTTCCAGTGTCTAACATGTAACCACAGTTCTAAAAATAATACATACAAAATACAGTCATTCACCTTAATAGAATTATCTCGTAGGCCACTGATAATTTTCTCATCATCATACTGTAAACAGTAGACACCTTTACTATTTTCAGAGCGGCACTGAATCCTCTGCAAGTTGTGTCGTCCACACCGCCAGTTAGATTCTATAGTCTAGAGGAAAAAGGAGGCAACAGATGAGTTTTTGCGAATCGACTATTCTATTAGACTTCAGACTTCAGCGCTGCTTCCAGAAACAGCATACCACTGATACCCCACCTCGGTCTGCGTAATAACTGTCTGTGGATAGGAATCATGCTCTTTTCCAAGTAAGACATTAGCCCAACGATGTTTTTTTCTCAAACGTTCCCTGCCCGTCTGGTAACCATCACAGGATTTCCAATGAGTTGGGGTTGGGTTTGAAAAAAAAAATGGCCTAGACAGAACTCAATATGTTCAAAGAATGCCATCTGCATCCAAAACATACAAATAAATAGTAATTCGCTGGGTCACTCTCTAACGCCAATTAAAATATTTGGCGGGAGACCACCGCCAACATTAAGCATACAGTGACAGTCTGCGTTTCCATCCAAAGCATTGTCTTGATCGTTGAGAAAAGATATTAAACTACTATAGAAAAAACTTTGTTATTCATTTTTAACCTTCCTCCAGAAGCTCCTTTGGAATAACGATGGCGCATTTCGGCCCTGGATTCTCATTCTTTCATCATTCATGCAACGCTTCCTAAGATCCTAGTATATTCCAAGTACAAACTGTGCTAGACACTGGGGATTCAATGATCAACAGGAAGCATACTGCTTTCCAGGGAGGCGCCACGCCAGTACCTAGGCACGTAGTATCCGGAACCAGATATACTCTGAAGACATTTATTTGGTTAAATGATCCACACGTTAACATTGGAATGAGGTCCTTATTATTTCCCCTTTTCAAACAAGGAAGGAGTTTAATTTGCCGGAGGCCACAAAACTAGTAACTAGAGGCGCTAGAAATCATACCCATTTCTTCACGACTGAGTCCGTGCTTCTTCCACTAAGTTATGCAATGTCTATAAGGAAGTACAGGCCTAGCTCATGAGACAGACAGGGAACACAGAACATAAAGAGGTCAGTAACAATTCCAGATAAAATGTAACTGCCAACAGAGTGACTAGAAACTGTAAGTGCTGCAGGCCGTGGGAAAATGAACGGCGCTACGGCATGAGACCGGGGGCACAGTTTAGTGAGGAAGCGGGCCAGGCCACAGCCCGGGAGACTTCGGGTGGTGTGCACAAGGACTTCCGGGATGCGAGGGCGCCACGTTTCTACGGAGAACAACCAAAGGGTCAACTCCTGACCCTCGAAATTAGGCGACAAAAGGGACCGAATAACTGTTCGCACCTGAATTCAGGATATAGTTTTAAAGATTAGCTCTGAGCAGTTAATTATCTGAATAGCTAAAAGTTTAATTGGTTGCTTTGCTAAAAAACGGAGATAAATCTCACCTTCATTCATAGTAAGCACTTACATCTGACAAAGTCTTTCCTCTTATTTTGCAGGCAGTCTGCTTCTGTACTGTTCTAACATGTTAAAATTCACTAAATGGCACGTGCGAGGCACTATGCTTTCATAACACCATGCCATGCGCTTCACGTAGTTTACAGCTAATATAACCATCACAACTCACACACCAAAATTATTGTCTTTATTTTACAGAAAGAAAAAAAAAAATGGAGGGTTGTAGATACCAATACACACACATCTAAAAAGGAGACTGTTTCACCAGTCGAGGCCTCAGTAATTGGCACAGGAGTCTGGAAATATAATCCCTGCCCTCAGAGAGCTCCCACACGCAGCCTACAGAGAGGGCAGGATTGCACAGCCCGGGGATGCAAGGCGGGCCACGGAGATGCCAGGGGCAAGGAGAAGCTCACCTGCCCATCCGCTACTGAGCCAGAGCTTCTGAGCCCGCAGCATCACCTCCAGCATTTGTAAATGTCAGACTAGCATACAAAAAAAAAAATTTAACTTACCCTACCTCTGCTACCGCTGTCTAAGAAGACAACAGATCTGTCTGGAGAAGCAACTTTTCAGGAAGGGGCCCAGAATACATAGAATATCTAAAACTGCTTTCAATAGTGGAATCGGCTAGAGAAAGCATTTTCAGACAGTGACTGAGACACCTCCGCATGCTATGCGGAGCAGGAAAACGCTGACTCAGTAAGTAGCTTTGTTACTCTCTACTTCAATGAATGGAAAAGGCACATTTACTATCACGTGAGAATTTGAAAAAAAATTTAATTTAAAACAAAGGAGTGGGGAACGACTCCCTATACCGAAAAGTATGTCCTGCATGCTCTCTCTTCACTCTATCGAACATGTTTTCTAGAACCGGGTGACTTGGTTATATTCCTTTACTACTCCCGAAGCCGTGGAGCAGAGGAGCTGGGCCGAGGCCGCATAGCCGGCCGGCCTGTGACACGTCCATCCCTTCAAGTCCCGACGACGGAGAACAGCACCCAGCATGAAAGGCTGGGCCATGCTCTCCACTTCCAACCCTCAAACAAGAGCCAAATACCAGGGCCTCTCAAAAGCTCTGCCGGACAACAGCTTTCATTCTAAGTCAAATGAAGTCAGGAAATGGCTTAGCTTCTCAGTGCCCAGAAAGAGCCTAATTTTTTAATATACGTATCTGAATTCTGAAAGAAAAAGTGTGCCAAACAATTCTTGATGGATCAATTCATTCTGGGAGCCCACTTTGGGCTGTTTTTAAAATTGGGTTCCTTAATCTCAAAACAAGCGCAGTTTGTTTCCAAATTCCAGGAAAGCGACCCTGAAGCAGAGCACGGAGGGACCGCTCTGCTACGCAGCGGCCCGGCTGCTCCTCTCACCCCCGAGGCCACCCACAAAGAAAGCAGCACTTCCTGCGGACTATGCCCAAAATACCACCTACCACCTTCTTTGACGACCTCAACCCTTGCTAGAATGCTTACAGGCCAGGTCTTTTTTAGAGAAACTAGACGCTTAAAAATGGAAGGCAGCCCACTGTGGTAGAAAATGCCTGGGTTAACGAGCAGCTTTGGCAAATGACGGACTGTGTAAGCTGCAGTTCCCTCCTCTGTAAAAACGGGAAAAGTATCTTCAAACTGTTAAGAATCAGATGAGATGACACGTGTAAAGTGCTCACTGGGGTGCCTCCAAATGAGGGCAGTGACGCTCTTTCTCGTTTGTGGAGTATGCTGGCCAAAAGGAATAGGCTGTAACCGAAAAAAAATTTTCTCACCAAACTGCCAGGAATGGTGGTCTCAGCCCAGGCTGATATTTAAAGCTGATGGCCCTGAGCCCTGCCTGACCACTCCCAGGAAGTGGGCCCAGCCTGCAAATGCAACTCCACAGTTACCTTCATGTCAGCAGCAGGCGGACAGGGCACGTGCAGGTGCAGCCCTGTAATTACGCAGATACCTGCATTTCACCCAGGCACCACGCCGTGTGGCTACTGTAGAGGAATAGTTCGTGTTTTTGAGAACTTGTAAAATCCCCTTACCCTGTGCGAATTTTCAAAATGCTGGGAAAGTAGCCATGATACACAGAGTATACAGCGGCATTTAAATTGGCAACAGAGTGAAAACAGATGTCTGAGTATGGAGAAATAACATTATTTTTAGAAGCCTAAACACAACTGAGTGGGTGGGCAAGTTTTAGCATTTTCTGGTCAGGACAATGTTAATATCAAGTTTGCAAACCACAAAAAAAGCTCCCCACTTTCCCTGCATAAAATGTGGTTGATTAAAAGGTGCGATACGACACACCATCATTTAACTAGCGGTCCGTTCCAAGGACAGTGCTTCGAGGGGTCTAGTACGGTGAATAAGAAGGGGAAGAGGGCATGTTACATGGAGAGCGTGCCACCACTCTGAAATGGCAGAGGGAAAAAGCCAAGTTCAAGACGTCAGAACTCTGAGTCTATCAGAACAACTCCCATCTTCCGCAGAGACACTTGGGGGCGGGGGAGAGTGAAAAGAGCATGGGCTTTGGACTAAGAATCTCAGTCCTGACAATTCGAGAATTAAATTAAATCGCTGTAGCAAAGTACCTAACGGTACGCTCGCCATTAATAATAATGATAACAATTAAGACTCCAGATAACCAAAGAAATGCAGCTGCTTCTCTGAGGAATGCATTCAGGTTCCTCAGGAATTCCTTCTCAATTCAGAGGCACTCTGACCACTCCGCCCCGCACCGTGTGTGTCGGGAACACCCATGAGAGACGAAGCTTTACAGAAGGCTAAGAATTCTTTTTTTATTCTCCCCAGACTTTGTTTCTCACGTTCTCATTTCCTGAATCATACTGGCCACACTAAGCCAGGTTCTCTACTTTTTCCTTAAAAATTAGTCAATTTCTGTTGGGTCAAGGTGGAAGGGCAGGGTCATCTGCTCATCAGGGCCAAATCTGGGAATGCACAGATGACAGGAGCCAGCGCATGAACTAGAGCTGTCAAGGGAGAGCTAGAAGGAGAAAAAGAAAAAGGTGCTGTGAACTGGCAGCCGTGTGTGGCAGTCGGGGAGGGGACACAAACACCCACTTGTCATCAGGGGTGTAATTTATCTTTGGGCACTGGGCCTAATTAAAACCCTTTAAAGCACTACCTTTCCCGAAACTGGACTAAAACAAGGTCAACTAATTCTATCTGAACTCGTGCCCTTTTTTAAACTGACGGTCAAGGACACTGAGCACTCACACAGTTAGAGAAAGGTAAGAAGATCACCTAGCAGTCTGCAGGCATATAGCCACAGACTTCTTTCTCCTTCGCTTCTCGCATTTTCCCTTTTGAAAACGACAAACAACACTAAGAGCTAGCCAGACCCCAGTTAAACCCCATAACTACGTAGCAAGTTCTAAAACTTCTCTTAGTCCCAGTTTCTCCTCATTACAGATGAGGATAACATCATGTAAGAATTCAACGCGATAATCTGTGTTAAGTCACACAACACAGTTCATGGTACACTGAGAGAGCGCCTGTAATCATTACATTCTGTTTCTGAGGGTTTCGTATCAGCTACGTGGACAAGAGCCAAGGGCGTTGAGTCTCTCATTTGTTTGATCCATGGGTCGCTGACACACTCTCTAGCTGTGTGTCTACTCCGAGAACAGAATAACACGTACTTGCAAAACAGAGGTAAAGAACTCTATTTTGATGAGTTTACCAACCAGTGATCTATAGTATAAAAAGGTTATATAAAGTGCAGAAGAAAATAAGGTTGATCACAGACTCTGTTAGTCTCTAGCTGAGTGATCCTGGGCATTCTATTTAACCGTGTTGACCCTCAGTTTCTCAGTTTTAATAAGGACATGACCCACCTTTCGGGTACTGTCTGAGTGTTAAACGAGAAAATGTATTATAAAATGCTTAACAAAGTATCTATCACAAGTAAATGCTCCATACATGGTACACTCTTTTTCTTTATTGTTACTGTTAGTGAGTGTTCCAAAGCATAGAACATCACCTCCTAAGAGATCTAATCTAGCCCAGAGACATCTGGAGGAGACCCCTGTGGCCAGCCCGTGGAGTTCCCCAAGACACAATTCAAGAACCACTGGGGAGGCCGGCACGATGCAGAGGCTTTTTGTCAAACAGGGTTTCCCCCACAGCTCCATTTCCCCTCACGTCTGCCTCCTCCACTAACTTAAAAATATTATTTCCGCCTCAGGAAATGGATATGGTGGGTGGTGTCACATCGACCATCATGCCACGGAGTTCACAGTGTCAATTATGATGGCAGTCATTCATGGGGGGTTAAATAAAATAGTCCCTGTCACCAAATCTTCAAACCCATCGAAGTTCTTTCAAAATTCCTGTTTACTGATGACTGACTTTATACATCGTCCTTCTCGTAATAAAGGATTTACTAAATAATTCAAGGAAATTTTGAGATACTTTGTAAAGAGTAATTGGGGGTTGGGGGGGATAAGCAGAAAGTAATAGTTTCTATGATGCGTGTACGAGCAATGTCCTACTATAACTATCTAGGGGTGAGAGACGGCCCACCCCCTTCTCCCCTGAAACTCACCCACCAGCCACAGATTCAAATTAGCACTATGCTTTGGCTACTACATGTTTATTCTAAGCTTTGTCAATGGATCAATTAATTCCTTTATGATCTGTGTGGCAGAAGTTTTAAATTATTTAACCCTCCTGGAAAGGTTACTTTGTAGCTCATTTTAGAGAGCAGAAAACTCAAGACAAGGGTTTGTGCTTTAAATACTAATATTCCAGCCACATTCAGATGTTCCATCAACCGAATGATTCCATTAGTTCACATCTGCCTCAAAAAGGGGAAAAGAACCCCACCCCCCAAAAAGCACGTTTCTCCATTAATAAATTTTGGCACAATAACTTTTCTGCCTATCACCTGGGGGAGGGGGTTACCTCACGTTTGGGAAACTGGGTATAACTTTATGGGTGATGCGGCATTGCCTAGAGAAGGCTCAATTTTTCTGCCAAGAAGGAAACAGTGAAGTAACCAGGACCTGCCAAGAACACATGTGAAAGAGTTAATGAGAAATGCCTGTGCGTGTCTTTCCTGGTTCAAGGAAAAGGGCTAAATAATAAACCTGAACTAATTAGAACACACGAACAACATCAAACATCTCCAGTGCTTCTCATCGAGTTTACAGAGTTTTCCTGGGCTGGTGAAGTTGCACTCAAATCCAACATGTCCAGAAGCGTAATTGGCTCCATAAAAGCCACTTAACTGTTGCTTACACTCATACTTGAGTCATTTTTTATGAAAAATTATGGGAAATTTACAGAGGAAACTGAGACTGTGCCTTCGCTAGTTCTCCAGATATGGCTCAAAACTGAAAAAGTGCTTACCTGAAAAACTGAGCCTTGGATTTTGGAAAATTTATCAAAGTAAAAAGTTGATCTTGGATTAATGTTGTAATTAAGTAGTGGCCTTGCAGAAGCATTTCACATTTTAAAAAAGTTAGGTCATTTTTTACAAAAAGACATTATCTACTCTGAGGAAAGCTACAGGTTGTACATTGTGACACATTTGCTCCAGGAGTTCAACTTAAAATTTTCACTTGTTCCATGATTTTAGATCAACACAACACTCTATGGCAACATAAAAAGTTGAGAACGAGACACAAAGAGCCCATGAAACAGATAAATCATAAAGTTACCTCTATATCCTGGATAATCTTTGGGTACAGTGACCTATAAAATGAATTGGGAGGGCCATCTGTGGGTCTGTTTTTAAACAGGTACTGATCCCTGGCAAATAAAAACAAACAGATGTTACATTTTGCACAGAAAGGGAGAATTTTATTTAAACATGGTGCTTACAAAAATATTGTATCATTCAAGTCTTTTGACTCAAACTGAGCTTTCACAGTTCGAAAAGCAGGATTTCTGAGTTTAAACACGTTAGACACAAATTTACTTCAATTTACAGCTTTCTACCACAATCCTGGCCTTTCATTTTCTGAATACCTGACACACAATAATCCCGCCTTTCATTCTACAGTTTAACAAAAAGTGCCAATGTCGCTTTGTGGAAAATCTAACTTGGTACACATCAAACTTCCTCCCAGAAAGAAAATACAGCCCTAACCCGCGCCCACACCACGACCAGCTCTACTTCCTCCCACGTGCGGCTCTTCCTCTGTGCCGACCGGGCCAGGTGACTGACACGTGGAGTGATAAAGCTGTGTTTAAGTTAACGGGTTTTCTCTATAAAAGCCTGCCTGCTGTGCATTATGTCCAACCAGGAACAATAACGCAGAGCGGAATGGCTTTACCGGACTTTCTCATGTTTTTTCCCTTATCTATCTGTTGGTGATGGTCCCATCACCTAAGAAACATGAGAAAGGAAAAGCGTAAATACACAGCTTTGTGAAGCCAAATCACTCAAACTACACAGTACTTCTTAACAGCTGATAACTATAAAGGAAATATACATTTCAGAAGGAAAACTTCTGACAGCTTTAACTTTTCCCCGCTAACTCCTGACCACTCATCTTTTCCCGCTTGTTTAAAACAGGCCCCCACATTTGGCAAGTCTGACTGCTTTCTTGAGTAATCCAACTGACCCTAGGTCGAAACTACTTTTTTTCTCGAGAACGAACTTACCACCCTCTTCTTTCTGAAAGTCCCTTCCACAGAGGGTCAGTGCGCACCATTCGTTCGATCAGCTTCTTCCAAAGCATTCCTTCCGAGATCACTCGCTGCCATTCTTTACACACCAGCTCTGCGGCACACAGAGACCTGGCATCCAGGTAGGAAAGAATGTTTTCTGCTATGTGATCTAGGCCTTGCTCTGCAAAACAGAAAAGGCAGTGAGTGGAGGGATGGCAAGGGAGAGGAAGATGCACCAGTCAGTCACCATTTCCTAAGCGTCAAAGAAAGCACCCTTGAGCTGAAACACGGCAGGCCCCGTGCTTCAGCAGTATCAACAGTCCTGCAGATGTGCACACGCAGGACCTCATAAACGTACACACTTCTTTTTGGTTCAGATTTTTAAAGATAAAACAATTGATGGCAACCGTTACTGTGTGTAAATGCTGATCCTGAGCAGTTCTATGTATCTGTCAGTTATGATGACGACTTATTTTCACTTTTACATAACTCTTTTCAAACCACTATGGGGCAATAACTCCCCAAAGTTTACAGACGAACGAGGCACAGAGAGGTGAAGCACTCGAGGTCTCGCAGCTACAGGGTAGTAAAGCCAGGGCTGGAACTCTGACCTCTTGATCCAACATTTGTGTTCTCTCCCCACTGATTTACTGTCTCTCGTAACAAATCGCCCTATGAATCCACGAACCCGTGTGAATCCCTTAGGGCTAAGGAGACAAAAAGGTGAAATGCTGACATCTTCAAAAGCTTATACAAAGGTAAATGGCAATCCAACGGTTAAAGTCAAGTGCACTTAGGTGTATCTCTTTTGATCATTTGTCTCTGAGTAGGTAAAATTCTCAAGATCAAGAGCCATGTGTCTACAAATTCTAGAACCTGAGGCGGTTTCTCCCTCCCACACAATGCCAGGGTCCTCTCAGAGAAGACTGAGATCCAGCCTCTGCCTGGCATTCCAAAGTGAGATCACCATGGCCCACGTTACGGCCTCCTGTAAACGCCCGTCCTCGGTTCGAGGCGCGTCCTCCGAGGCTACGAGAACCAAGGCCCCTCCTCGGGCCCGTCCTGTGTAGTGGCGGAACACCAACAAACAGGCAGAAAATTCCGGCTTCAAATCCAGGCTCAGCACGCAGCAGTCCTGCGACGCGAAACGAACGCTGAGACGTCCGTGCCCTGGGGTTTCTTTCTCACCACGCAATGCGGCAATCACCAGCAACGACTGTCCCTTCCCACTCTATCTGTGAGACTCACATGGGTTTCATGAAAAGACTCTAAAGACAAAGCACCACACGAGCTTAGTATCTGTTCTCCTTCTCAAGGTCACAGGCGGCACGGCAGCAGGAACCTGGCAGGATACAGGTGAATCATTACACTTTCGGAGCCTCTGCTTTCTCATCGGTATAAAGTGGTGATAGCAATCTTTGCCCCATTTTGAAAATATCGAAATGAGATGATGCTCAAGAAACGCTTTACAAACGAAGATTTTCTTCGACTCTGAGAATGACTAATTACACTGTTGATCACGGTTTACAGGCCTTCATGTAAACTTTCCTACTCTGGACTGGACCTGAGACCCGAGTTATGATCAGATAATGAGGACCACACTAGGGCCGCGACCTTTTCCTGCACACGTCATGATATCTGTTAATGCAGTTGGAGATTACAGTGCCTGCGCCTAATAGTCGTATCGAGTAGACCCCTAAGATGGCAGTAAGTCAAAATCCTAGGCCTCTCCCCAAGACCTCTGTTGAAACAATTCCCCCAACTCGGTATCTGTATGCCTATCTGGAGGGGTGGGTGCAGTTGTCCTTACTATAATTTGCCTTTGCAGCTTTACCTGACCGCCCCAGTTAGCCTCTAGAACCTTCTGTCATCCAGAAGAGTGGGTATTCCACCCCGGATCTGCACGGGGGGCAAACGGAGGAAGTCCTTGTTCCCAAGTTTGTGGGCAAACATGTCAAATGGGTCAGAACCAAGGACAGCGCCACGGTTCTGGAGCTGTCCCTCCAGGCTGTCCCTGATCTACTCACTGAACACTGTCACGGTGCCAGCACTGCGCTACGGGTTCTGTCGCGATCTGGGCGGCTGCGTCCAGCCCACACCTCTCCTCAGTCCTTGGGGATATCTGGAGGAACTCTGCCCCATGAGGACATGGCCGCCTTCGTACCGCGTTTCTGACCTGCTGGTCTGGGAATCTGTCCAACGAGGAGAGCAGTGAAGCCGGCGTGGCTGCTCGGTGCGATCCCTTGCTGGTGCTTACTACGTGCAGTTGGTATTGCGTTTTTTAAAAACAAGTTGGCACTAGCTGCTTTGTGTCCCTTTTTAACATATGATTCATGTTCATTACAGAAAAGTGGTAGAATGCATGTAAGCAGAACATTAAAAACCCCTAAATCCCACCTCTCAGAGCTAACGCTTTTGGCACTCCGTACACACCCTCCAGGCGGACACAAGCCTGGGGTCTTTGCGGCTGGCTTGATGATCCACTTAAGAACTCTGCTGGAGTGTGGCATCAAATTTACCAGCTAATATCCCCCAAATACACTCACTCCGGTTGTCCAATTCTTAAAACCAGGAAATCTGCGCGTCAATCGCCTCGGGGCACTACCACGCAGAATCACCAAACACAGCTGGCAAGCTGAAAGGGGCACGGGGTGCCCAGCAGCTCTGCCTCCGGTTTTCCGTTACTCCTCGGTGTCCCACAATTCCTATCCTCACAGCTACAGCTTCTGTCCCCATCCTGCACCAATGGCTTTAGGCCTACTTGTTGACAGGCGCTACATGTTTCCTAAACACTTCACAGCTTTCACTATAATTTTTCTATCTTTTTGTGGTTTTAAAACCCGACAGGCGCTACATGTTTCCTAAACACGTCACAGCTTTCTTGGACTATAATTTTTCTATCTTTTTGTGGTTTTAAAACCATTATTCTTAGTGGGGAAAGAAAAAAAGTGACGAGTGGAAACGTGCGGCTTCTTCCTATCATCGCTGCACGATCTACTGCGAAGACACCGTCCCTTCATTCTTCACACTGTGCTCCCGAGATGATGTTTGTGTTTGTTTTCAACTTTCCCGTTTACTTATCCATTTTGGACAATTTTACATTATCAGGGTTTTGCCGTCTTGATACCATGCTCTAAGGTTCAGGCTGCCTTTCTGTGTCTCCATGATGCTGTGCCCCTTTCTTCCCTCTTTCCGCCCATGTTTATTTATGATTAGGGAAATCTCCAGATAATCACATGGTTCTGCTTGGGCCACTCCACCGCTAGGACTGACAAAACAGTCATCGGAATTCCAAATTTCACAATCTCTCTGCCCTTTAATCATTTTCTTTAAAATCTCTATCCAAGGGCTAATAAACTTAGGTCTTCCCTGGATCTGTCCAACGCTGGGGTACTTATCAGACTGTCTTCTAGTTCTACATGTGCCATTAGCATAGAGTCACTTTTCAAGGTCTGTATTACTTCCGTATCGCCAGCCAAATCCTCCTAGCTGGTTGTAAACACTCTCTTAACCGCATCTCCTGCGTCTTCTGCTCTGAGAGATGAAACAAACAGCGAGTCCAGAATGCACTGCATTTGCCTTTTCAGGTCTTGATGGCTGCAACGTCCGCTCGTCTGTATATGAACTGGGAAAGCAGCATCCAGGCCTCGGCCTGATTGGGTGGTCTGGGAGATGTTTCTCAGAAGCCTGTGTGGTTATGTATGAATCTCTCGTGGTTGCTGACTTTAAAAACAAACAAAAGCAACAAAAACAGATTCCCTGGACATTCTTCTGACCTACTCGGTCAGAATCTTTAGATGGTGAGGGCCAAAAATCTACCTTTTTAAGCAGTTCCGCCAGGTAATTCTAACACGCTGGGCACTCTTGCTTCACAGTCCTCTTGGATTTTTCTTCCTCCATAGCTCACCACTGGGCTAGCAGTGAGTTTCTGCATAAGGAAATCACTTACTAACAAATAGTTCCCCTTCTTTCAAAGGCTATCAGTCTAATTCAGCAGCATCTCGGTAATACAAATGAGACTTGGTTTACTTCCTTTGGATAATACTTTAAATTCATTTCATCCTCCTAGGAAGCAGCATGTTTTGGTCTCTTGGAAGATGCGCTGGCTGTAGAGTCAGATAACCTGGTTGAAGCAAGCAGTTTTCCTTTTTGGATCTCGGTCTTCCACAAAATAGACATGACAGTCAACGTTGAAACAGATTAGTTCACACGACCTGCACGAGAACCCTCTGAGACGGGTACTCTCAATATCCTCTTTACAGAGAAGGAACTTCCCGCCCTGGTTGGGAAGGTAAATTAGAGGAGGTTGTTAAGGAGCCAGACACAGAAGTGCTTGATGAGTATCATTCTGTTCCCTTCCCTTGTCCCCAAATCCCCTTAGTTGATATTGTTGGTCAAGGAGCTAAGCAGTGTTCCTCTTTGTTATTTTCTGAGAGAAAATATTACACACCTCCTCTAGCAAAGCACTAAATAAGCCCCCTCTAATATCTTGGTTATAAGTCTCATCCCCTTAAATATTTGAAGGCTAGGAATCACACAACTTCTGTTTGAGCATTTAAGAGTAGACTCACAGAAGCCGTGCAGACCTTGAAACTTTCTGGTTTCAAGCCTGTTCAGACAAAGAAGTTACTGCATAAGGCGGTCCATTTGCCAGGGCTAAAAAGCGCTTTGAGGTGATAAAACTAAGCATTTCCTTAGGTACCAATGTCTGGCTCTCATTTACTCCACCATGCTGAGACTCCTCCATCTCCCACCACCCCACCCCCTTCCCAAGGCAGCAGAGGACATAATGGCCTCAGAAAAATGAGGCTAAGATCCTGCACACACAATGCTGAAGACGTGCTACCATTGCTAATTATAGGGACAAGGTGAAAGTCCGGAAAAATTCCAATAATAAATTAAAACAATTATAAGGCACAAATTTCGAAGCTCAATATGTAAATAACACTATCAAAATCAAACTCAAATGTGTAATAGCAGCTCAATGCCCTTGACTACAGCCAGTTATAACACAGCTGCTTAGATCATGCACTTATAGAAACGCTTATTATTTTAGAAACACATTTCAAAGAACAGCTGCAAAGAAACTTCCTTCCCCACCCACCTCTGCTGTCCCTTCCCCCTTCCTGGTCACAGATCTATGTGGCTATAAAATCTGAAGTCAGAAACCTTACACACACACACACACACACACAAAACTGTTGACAGCAACAGTCATTGGATGCCTTTATCTTGGAATATACTGACCTACGGATTCAGACAGAAATGAAGTGAAATGATGCCCAGGTCACAAAGTCCGACACTTCGTTGGGCCAACAAAGTGCCACATACACCTACCTATATGATGTCAGGATGAATCAATTTGGAAATTAGTGGGTGAATAATTAAAACTTCCTGGCAATAAATCTTACTACCTCTGGAGAAGCAGGTGTTTCCTGCTTCTCTGGGCTTTTTATTTTATTATTATTATTATTATTTTTTTTTACGCTGCCATCCTCAGAATACCCACCAGATGCCAGTCACATGACATACATCCTGTGATCTTTACGCTATCCCATGAAGCAGCAGTACTATTACTGCCACAGGGATAAGGAAACGGGCTCCTGTGCTACTGCGCAGGGGCTGGGTTCACACTGAAGGGCGTCTGAGCCGACGGCCACGCTCTCCGTGGCTACGCGGGGGTCTCTGGTGCAGCGCCTAGCCTAAGGCCCGAGCTACGCGCTGGTTCTTCCACAGCTCCAAGACCACTGATCGAGTCTGCCACACGTACGGTCCACAGTGATGTGTCGTCTTTACTGGGGATAGGACGAATGAATGAACCATGGCCAAGAAGCTAAATGTTTCGAAATTCTTAATTGCTTAGACACCTTACCAAATGGATCGCCAATGTTTATCATGCGTTTTGAAGTACAATCTGCTTCTACTTCAAATGGTATAAATTTTCCCTTTAACGACAGTTCTTACAAACCACAAACTTAGCCTGCAGAAATTGACATTGCAGACTAAACATTTACCATGATTTTTAGAAAAGCATATCATAATTATCACTTTTTCCACTGAACCAAAAGGAGCCAGAGACCACAAACATTTTCCGTTTTCCCTATACTGACAGGTATGATAGTCACAGTGAGCACCAAAAAGTCAGAACTACATACGATTATAATAGAATTAATGGTTTTCACAATCAAAAGAAGTCTTAAGTTGACTGTCAATTTCATCAGAGTGAAAATTCAAACTCAAGATCACCTATAGTAAAAGCTAAGCGCTGATCAGCAAGCTGTTCCGCACGTTATTAAATCTAAGTGGGAACATACGCAGGGCCCTGTCTCTCCCCTAACGCTCTGAAGTTTGGGTCTGGGTTAAGGAACTAATGCCAGGTTTAATCCAAGTCTACTAGAGACTGACTAACGACCAATTCGGCCAGCGTGTCCCCAGCTATTAGATCCATGCGTATGATACATACTGACATATGTATATATGTTCAGATCAAATCCTGTGAAAACAAACAGCATTTTAACAAAAATATTTCCATGTCCCAGCCAATGGTCCATTCATTTTGTGTAATAGTCAATACCACAAAATTCTGCTTTAACAGAGATATGGACAATGCCTTAAAATTTGCTATAATGAAAACTGAATTGTATGCAATTATACTAACCATATTTATATACATAACACATGTTCATCTGTTCTGTCTCTTCTCCAAGACCATACACTCCCCAAGAAAAAGGGATTCCTCTGAACTACACTCTACAAATCAAGAGAACAACAGTGCCACCTCGTGGATATTCTGTCAATAGAAGGTGAGGTCCCTGGCACTCTTAAATGTCTGAGAAGCAAATTACAGGGGAAAATAAAACTATAAGTAGAAGGCAATGAAAAAAAACAATAAACAGATCTGCTTGAGAAAAATGAGGCGTAACTTCATTTAGTGAAAAGCACTTATGAGGAACCACCACCACCATCGACTTTAAAAACTACTTCGACTTTCCTCAGTGTGAGATGCAGCCTGAGTCAGGAGAAAGGCCTGCACGATGGGGGTTCTGGGGCCTGCGCTGCACAGACGGGAGCTGCACCCCGTGTGCACTCATCATGCTGAAAGCCACCTCTAATTCTCAAATCCCCCCTCCTCTCCCTTCCTCCCATGCAATTAAAAGCATACCTTTCTCTTTTCCCACTCCTCTTTCTTTCTTTCTCTCATAATTAAAAGTAAATATTACTGAGTTGGGTTGCAAACCATGTATTCTATACGAGGGTCGACTTAAGGAATTTTCTAGAGTCATCTGAACTATAAGTGATTTCAGTTTTTGCACTAATTTTTGAAATATCCTGCACCGCACCATCACTTGCACAATCACCCCAATAACCAACATGTGTGCTGCGGGGCATTCCGTCCACTTCCCACAGTCTCTGGCTTCCTAGCCTACAC